TACCTGGAATTCCACTGTGGCGGGAACGGGTATGTTGATGGCATAGAGGACATCCGGGTGGTACACATCAAAAAATAGGAAAAGAGCGAGTCCTCCCACACCCCCAGGGTGGAGGAGCATGACCAGTGCTTCCCAAGTGGTGGCCCCTGCCTGCCTATGTCAACAGCCCTCGCGCCCCGTTCCCTTACGTTGATGTGCCAATGTCTTCCAACTACTGAGTTGCACACCACGTGGCGTCTTCCGGTCGGAACTGCCTGCATGGTTTCTCTGCCTCCAATACCCTCTGCCCTCCTTTACCTGGTCTGCTCTTAACTTTTGTTAAGATTAAGCTCACCTGGCTTCTCTCTTTACTGAACCGAGGAGTTTCCTGAGAGTGACTCTCCTCACTCCACCCAAACGGAAAGGTCTTCCCTTCCCTCCATGAATTCGATCATCCCAAGGTGTAGGACATTTATCTACGTTAGGTGTGTGTGATTAGTGTCGGTGTTACAGGCTGCGTGATATCGATTATACTTGCATATGATTTGTGCAGAATGTAGGCTTAAGGTCCGTGTTATGGACACATTTGTGAAATGTGTTTCTAAGAAAATGCAGGGATTTTAGGCAGGTTAAGGCGTTATGTTTCCTGGGAATAATAAATTACGTGGGTGATCATAGCAGGAATGAGCTTATCTGATAATAATCATTTTCACTAGGCAGAGACGTAGACTGGGATAAAGGACTTTAGAACGTAACCTTCCTGTGGGTCGCCGGCAGGCAGGTGCAGGGCAGGATGGGGTAACTGGGTGATGGACATTAAGGAGGCCCCACGATGCAATGAGCACAGGCTCTTATGGGAGACTGATGATTCACCGACCTCTACATCTGAAACTAGTAACACTTTATACATTGTTTAATTGCATTTAAATTAAGAAAATAAAAACTGTAAGCTTCTTCAAGAACGGATCTTATAATTTACATTTTGTGGGTAAAAAACAGGAAGTAAATCGCAGAAGGAAATGTTGAGGACACAAGTAAGTAACTGCTGAGAATTCTGTTTGCTAAATGGGCAAGAGAGATGCAGAGAAAGATAAATCTTCACTTCAGATAATTAGGCCTCAAGCAGGTACGGGGAGGAGAAATACTGAACATTAGAGTCCCTTGTATCTTCAGCCTCCTGCATGATTGAATGACTCCCGTGTTGAAACAGGTAGAGAAAAGACCCAGGTAACAGCATTTCCAGCGAGGTGGCCGTGTTCCTCGTCCTGAATGTCTGGCCTCAATGAGTAGCCAAGGAATCCAGGTTGGCCATCACGTTCCAAGAGCAGCTCTTCAGCTTTGCGATTTTGAATTGCACCTGGGCTTGAGCAGAGACCGGGAGGTGACAACTTATACTAGCCAGACTCACAAGAGATCAGTGTCAATCCAGTTGTTCCCTATCGATGCTCAGTTTATGGATGAGGAATACTGACTGTTTATCTCAGCTGAGAAAAGCTGCTTCCAAATGCAGTGGCATGGGGCACTTGGGTGGCTCAGTCGGTGACGTGCCTGACTCTAAATTTCAGCTCACGTCATAATGTCACGGTCATGAGATCCAGCCCCACAGCCAACTCTGTGCCGAGCCTGGAACCTGTTTGGGATTCTTTCTTTCCCTCTCCCTCTTCCCACTACCCCTCCCCTTGCTCACACAGGCCCTTGCTCTCTCTCTCTCTCTCTCTCTCTCTCTCTCCCAACATGAAAAGAAAAACAGACAAACCAGGTGAAAACCAAATATAATGGCCTATTTTGTGGTAGCATATTCTGGTTTCCTGGAGTTATATTTCACAGTGGTCTATTCCGGCCTCTCACAAGTTTTCACAAATATCTCATTTAAAAACTCTAAAAATTCCTTTTAAATAAAATAAAATAAATAAAAAGTAAAATAACCAGCATGCTAGACTACAACAATGAAGGGAGAAAAACTCCACAGTCCCTACTAACCTTGTGGTCTACCTGGGGGGTCTATTAATCCAGAAATCATATAAAGAAATGCATAGTTATAAAGTAACTTTTGAAAATTCAAATTAATATTTTAAAAAGGTACACATAAAAAAAGAAATAGGTACACGTTTGTACAAAAGCATTTAATTACTGGGGCAGAGAAAGGGGCGCCAGCCTCACTGGGGCGAATGGAGGTAAGATAGGTGACACTGTACCTGACAGCTGCAGAGTAAAGAGGAGGTAAATTTTATGGCTCTTCCCATCAAACTACTTAAATCAAAAGGGACAAGGGAAGAAGGGGGATAATGAGAGGAAGAGGAAAGGGGACATCACCCAAGGATGCCTGAAATAAGTCAGCATTTCCACTCCTATGAAACAAGATGCCTTAACAACAAATATATAGGTGATGACAACAATGAATAGCAGTCATGGGAAAGTAACACCAGGATATTCTAAAAGTATTGAATACTAACAATTTAACTTACAAACCACAAAATTTACATGAGATCTCTGTATATTCTCTCCAAACGATGTGTTCTGGCAGCCTGGGTGGCTCAGCTGTTTCGCATCTGCCTTCAGCCCAGGGCATGATCCTGGGGACCCGGGGTCGAGTCCCGCATTGGGCTCCGTGCATGGAGACTGCTTCTCCCTCTGCCTGTGTCTCTCTACCTGTCTCTGTGTGTCTCTCATGAAAAAATAAACAAAACCTTTAAAATAATAAAAGAGAAGTCATTTTGGCAATTCTGGGGGCCCTTGGTTGCCTCAGGGGGTGGAGCATGTGACTCCTAACCCTGGGGTTGTGATTTCGAGCCCTGCCTTGGATATAGAGACTACATGAAAATAAAATCTTAAAAAAATAGTTCTTTTGGCATTCCGTATGAATTTTAGAATCAGCTCAACCCCCAGGGGTTTTGATTAGGATTGAGGTGACTGTATAGATCAATTTGGGGAGCATTGATAGCTCAATAATCCTGAGTCTTCAGACCCATGGACATAGGATGGCTCTGTTCCTTACATCCTCTTGGCCAAGCTTTTGGTTTTTAGTATTGAGGGGGTGAGGATGTCCCAAACTCTGAAACCTTGGCATAAGAAAAGAGTCTCATCCACCTGTTCCCATTCCTGGGATGAGCAAGGAGAGCGTGGAGCCTTCCCCTGTACCCTCGCTAACAGCGAGCTCCACCGCTCCAGTCCCGACCTGTGATGGGAGGAGTCGTGTTGGGGGTGGGGGGTGGGGGCAGAAAAAGGTGGCCCACCGAGCACTGATTCAAGAAATAAAAGACTTAATTCAAGAGGACTGGAAGAACTGGGGACAGGGTCCATCCGTTGGCTAAGATTGCGACAACAAGATACCACAGACTGAGTGGCTCACACCACAGAAGTTTATTTTCTTACCGTTCTGGAGGCCACAAGTGCAACATCAAAGCTCTGGAGGTTCGGGTTCTGCTGTGGCCTCCTTCCACAGTTGAAGAAGGCTGCCCTGCTGCTGTACCCCTGCGGGTCTTCTCTGCCCCTGTGCACCCCAATACTTCTCTGTGGTTCACCTTTCCTCCTCTTACACGCTCAGCAGTCACCTGGCATTGGGGTCCATACTGAGGGCCTCATTTCAACTCAGTCACTCCTTCAGAAGTCCTAACTCAAGTACAGTCACATTTGAGATCTGATCACACTTCTGAGAACGTGGGGTCTATGCCTGAGCTGTGGGGGCAGACAATTCAGCACGTACCGGAGGACATGAAGCCGTGGTTTCCCTGAGCCACAGGAGGGCTGCTCGGGTGGCTCCATGGCTTAAGCATCTGCCTTCAGCACGAGTCCTGATCTCAGGGTCTTGGGGTGAAGCCCCGAGTAGGGCTCCCTGCTCAGCAAGGAGTCTGCTTCTCCCTCTCCCTCTGCCCCCCACACCCCCCCCCGCCCCCGCCACCACCTGGCCCTGGCTCTGTCTTTCTCTCAAAAAATGTGCCCGCTTTCCTCTCCTTGGTCTGGGCTTTGCTTCTCTATGGAGGCACAGGGATGGCCCAGAGGGAGGAGGCAGAGGTCTTCCCTCCCCTGCACTTGTGAGACCTGAGATCATGGAAGAGACCTGGAAGGGAGGGGGCCGCTCCCTTGGGGTCTTGCGCTCTCTGTCCCACGCTGTCCTGGGGCAGCCAGACAGGAATTCACCACCTGAAGGAGTACAAAGTGCCAAGTGGCTAAACCCCAGTCCTGAGGATGTGGGCGCTGGGGGGAACCCGGGGTGGGGACGCGGGCTCTTCACTGGGAATGGGGATCAGCCCCCCACGGAGCTGAGCACACCCGGGCAGGCCCCAGCCCGCTCCCCACAGACTCTGTTTCCTGGCATCCTTGACAGATTCCCAGGCAATTCTGATGGGAGGCCCGGGCTGGGGGTCCCGCCGGGCCCGGAGGGGTCTGATGGGGTGCTCCTCTGCAGGGGGCTTGGGGTCCTGGCGACTGTGGACGTGCGGAGAGGTGCACCTGCCCTAACACATGTGGCTGTAGAGGAGGAGACGTGAGAGCTGGGTGAGCACACACTCAGTTTTTGTCCTCTGTCCCTGTGCCCAGCGCTCTTCTCTGCGGCCCAGCTCAGCCCTGACCCTGCGATGTGCCTGTTTGTGTGACGGTCCCTGGCGCTTAGTCATGAGCTCCTGAGGCTGGGCAGCCGGGGCCGGGGCCCAGGATCCCTAGAAGGGGGGTAACCCGTTCCGGGGGCCCCCACTGCACCCCAGAACCAAGGCCGTGGCCACCGTGGCATCAAGGTCCCGCGGCGAGTCTGGTGCTGGAACCTGAGGTCAAGGCCGCGGCCCTGCAGCTGCAGAAGGGGAAGGAAGGCCCGGCCCGCCCAGGAAGTGCACGGGTCCCCAGGGTACTTAGGCCACCCGGGAGTGGGGAGCAGCCTCAACCTCGGAGTCTGGGGCTGCGCGCACGGCCTGGGTGACAGCCAGAGCCTTGCAGGACACCTGGTAGGAGGGCGGCCGCGGCCCGGGCGGGAGGGGTCCTGGGGTCCAGGGCGGCCGCCGGAAGGCCGGGCCCAGGGTCAGTCCCTCGGGGGGACAGGACGGGGAGGGGACCGGGGTCTGCGGGGGGGGGTGCAGTACTCCTACCTCCTGTTTCTCCTCGCGCGGGGCTCAGGCGCTCCGGGACCCGGACACTCAAGGCAGTGGTCAGGTGAGGTGACTACTGCCAGCCGGTGACCCCTGGGGAGCCGCGGGAGAGCGCCTGTCTCTGCGGGGGGCCTGAGCCCAAGCCCATCAGAGCTCCACGGTGGGGTCCCACTCGGAGGCAAGTGTGGCTCTCAGCCCCCCTCGGTCCCCACCCCCTCGGGTGCTCTCTGACCTGCTCTCTCGCTCGCTCTGAAACCAAGAATAAAAGCATAAAAAAGAATGAAATAAAATAAAGATCAAGAAAGGAGCAAGGAAACCTTAAGGGCACAATAAGCACCTAATGGCTGGGAAGGATCATTTTGTTCCTATCGCTCTGACCACTGTGATTCCCTCATTTTCCTCCCTCCTCCTGCCCAGAGGGATGATGCTGCATCTCCCGGGGCCGTGGCCGCTGCTCCTGCTTCTGCTGCTGGGATCATGGGGGCCGGTGCCTCCTGCTGCTGCTCAGCCTCCAGGCTTCACCGCCGTTCAGTGGTTTAACACCCAGCACCTAAGAGCGAATCAGGTGCAATGCAGAACTGAAATGCCTCAGATCAATAATCTGCTTCCCAGATGTAAGGGGCAAAACACCTTTCTGGTTGAGTCCTTCCAAAACGTGGTTGCTACCTGTCAACAGCCCAACAGGACCTGTAAGAATGGCCTGGGAAACTGCCACCAGAGCGCAGGGCGGGTGAACATGACCTACTGCCTTCTCATTGGGCGCCGGCCCCAGTGCACCTACAGTACTACGTACCAGAACCGGTTCTACATTGTTGCCTGTAACGACTCGCAGCCAGGCTACCCTCCCAATCTTCTGCTTCCCGTCCACTTAGACGACACCGTCCCGCTGGGTCCTACACACTTCGGTTAAGACCAAGGTGGCCATCGCGGTCGCTCCCCCTGGGCCAGGCTCTCTCATGATGTCTCTGCTTTCTCTTTCCTTTGTTGATTCCCATGGTTCCCATAGAAGAAATAAGTAAAGGGCCAAGATGTGAGACGAGAGTAAGGGACAGCAGACATTGGAAGCTTTTCAGATTGGGAGCTCTGTGTGATTGAAAGGAAGGCAATAGGGCAGAGGGCCAAGAACGGCCCAGGCCCCATGGTTTTCCTCTTGCACCTTCGGCCAAGCTTCCTTGCACCTGTTCTCAGCAATAAAATCACTTTCTCCTGCATTCTAAGGACTGTGAGTATGTGTGTTCGGGGTCCCTTTCCCGTGATTGCCAGCTTGGAGCCACCTAGGTTGCCTTTGCCAACATCCTCAGGAGAACTATTTGGGCCTCAGTTCACCTTCGTTACTCAGGGTCCTAGGGCCTCTGTCACTTGTCTCAGCCTGTGTCCCTGGGACTTTGGAGAAGACAGTTCTCCATCCCTCCCACTCTGCCCAGGGCTTTGACATATCTCCCTTGAACCCATGGCCTATGTTTACGGGAAGGTACCACAGGCACCTCTGTGGTACTTTCACACACAGGCTCTAACGCTGACAATGACACATCTTACATCCTTAGTATTGGCTTCCATATGTGATCAACTAATGTTTTAAATATAAATAAATAGGGGATCCCTGGGGGGTCAGCGGTGTAGCGCCTGCCTTTGGCCCAGGATGCCAGGAAACAGAGTAGGTGGGGAGCGGGCTGGGGCCTGCCCGGGTGTGCTCAGCTCCACGGGGGGCTGATCCCCATTCCCAGTGAAGAGCCCCCGTCCCCACCCTGGGTGTCCCCCAGCGCCCACGTCCTCAGGGCTGGGGTTTAGCCACTTGGCACTTTGTGCTCCTTCAGGTGGTGAATTCCGGTCTTGCTGCCCCAGGACAGCTCGGGACAGGGAGCGCAAGACCCCAAGGGAGCAGTCCCCTCCAGTCCAGGTCTCTTCCATGGTCTCAGGTCTCACAAGCGCAGGGGAGGGAAGGCCTCTCCTCCTCCCTCTGGCCCGTCCCTGCGCCTCCATAGAGAAGCAAAGCCCAGACCAAGGAGACGAAAGCGGGCACATTCCCTTCTGGTCAGTGTGAGGGGACGCGGGAGCCTCCTGGGGACAAGGACTCAGGAGGAGGTTAGGGCTGAGTGTCCTCTGCTGGGCTGGGGAAGCGGGGGTGGGGTGGGGGGCCGAGGAACCCTGGGCCGCATCCAGGGGGGGAGCTCAGTGTGCTCGATGGGGGGACAACACAGGAAGACGTGTGCTCAGAGGTGTCCCCGGCTTTGCAGAGAGGGAGGCTGCTCTCCTCTGGGTTGAGACACCCTGGCTGGGGACGGGTTAGGACCTGCCCCCGGGGAGGTGAGCAAGCCCTCCCTGCAGCCGGCACTTCTCCGCGTTCTTCAGCCGCAGAGGTTCAGCACGCCAAGCTGCCGGATCCCCTCCACGTCGCTGGGCCTGCTGCCTGCAACAGCAACTGGGCCCAGGGCTGGTCCCCAAGATCCCACAGGGTCAGTGTCTCTAAGCAGGCCACAGTCCCTAGGTCCCTTCTCGGCTCATTCAGGCCTCCGGGACGCTGCGTCCTCGGGTGGCTGTGCCCTCTGTGTGTCCCGCATCTGACACGAGAGTGACCTGAGCAGTGAGTCAGGGCCTGAGGCTCGGGGCACCCCCGCGTCCCGGGGTGCCGGTCACTTGGATGGCGTGTGAGGAGCTGCAGCCCGGCTCTTGGGGCCATGGAGGCCGGTGCCCGGGTTGTCCCGCGGGGGCTCGTGCTGGGTCCCATGGCCTCCTTCTTTCCCCACAGGCGGAAGGCACCCTCCCCTGTTATCAGGCCTGAATCCACCGCTTTGCACACCTGCTGAGGGGAAAAGTGTGCAAGACCCGCAATGCATGAGAGCGACCACACGTGGTCCCCCATGGAGTGCCCGGACCTCCTGCCAGATGCGCCGGGGGGAGCAGACGGGACAGAGGGGACCCCTCGGCGGGCCCGGCATGTTCCAGACGCCACGGTCCACAGCGGGCAATGCTTCAGAGGTTTCCTGGTCACCGCCAGGCACGTGACCTTGGTCCACAGAGAGCACACGTGGGCATAAACCAAGATCACGTTGGAACTGCTTGTGACATTTACTGATGTAATCATTATTAATTTATGAGCCACCCAGGGGAAAACCAGAGGGAAGAGGAGGGGGGGGGCGGGGCGCCGTATGGAGCCTAGAAGGTGAGACCCTGGCTGGCCCTTTATGGACATTCTGACCGTCTGGTCACCTGAGCTCTTCAGGGCCCTGTCCTGCGGCCAGGCCGGAGTTCGGGAGCGGAGTGGCGGCTTGGGCCGGGATTCAGGCTGCCCACACTGGGCTGCGCAGCACGTGGCCACCCGGGGCTCTTCCTCCCTGGTAACCGGGGTCCTGGCGACGAGGTCGACTTGCTGCCCCTCGACGGCTCAGCGGGTCCCCGGGTCCCCGATGATGCTGAGCTGCCCACGGGCCTCCACGTGAGCCACACAGGGGGCTCGGGGACCTGCCTCCTGGTACTCCGCTCGGCCGGGCCGCGGCTCAAGGCCCCTGCACCTGGGCAACACTCCTGAAGCTCTCACCTCTCAGCCTTATTTGACTTTCTTCTTTCTCGAGGACACTGCATGAACATGGGGCTCGACTTCCTGACCTTGTGATGAGAGGTCGCAGGCCGGACCGCCAGCCACCCAGCCTCCCCCTTCTGGGGGCTCTCAGAAGTCTGCTGGGGTGGCTGCACCTGGCGGGTGCCCGCAGAGCCTGGCCGAGGCCCCGACGCCCCCTGCCCCCACGCTGCCCCCTCCAGGCTCCCCAGCCCCACCTCTCCTCTCCGCCAGGGAGCTCTGGGCAGCTTGCGGACCCGGACCCCAGGGGCGTCCCAAGGCCAGGCCCGCACCAGGAGGGTCAGCCCTGGGTGGGATGTCACAGCTCCCGGAGGACACAGCTCCCGCATGAGTCACAGTGTGTCACCCCTCTGCGTGCGGCGGCAACAGAATTTGAGTGTTGGGTCAGATGACGTTGAACCTTTAAGGACCGAAGGACAATGTGCGCAGACAGCAAGATGCGGGGGAGGAAGGACCCTTGGGCCTTGGGCTGCCTTCCCTGCTGTCCTAGGTGGGCGGGAAGGGAGCGCAGGAGGCCATCCAGGCCTGACTCAATCAGCTGATTTGAGACAAAGAGTAGTTTTTCTTTCAAGGCGTCTTTTCCATTTGTAAATTCATTTTTCAAAATGCCACTGACAGTGCCAGGAGTAGCAGGGAACGTGATGTTGCCCACATGGAGGCCTACAGGGGACGGCCCAGTGGGAAGGGACGGAGGAGGCCATGGGCCTCCCGGGAGAGGGGAAGCTAAGTTCACCAGGATAGGGAGAATTCTGGAATTCTTTGTCCCTCTTGGCAGGTCCTAGGAAGTCCTTCCCTTGTGCTCTCACGGGCTCATTTCATTTCCTAAGGTGAGGAATTACCTTTTAAAAAGTCAACAATGTAGATAAATACAAACCAATATAGAGTACTCAAAACAAATCATATCGTTTTTCATCTGCCTGGCGTTTTTCAATAAATAAAATATAAAACCATCGGTGTTCCTTCCATTCTCCTTGCCATTCTCACTCCTCTTAGCTCTTCTCAGATAGAATCATAACCACGGTGTGCATCCCCGTTTTTAATTTTGTATTTCATCCATAACATATTCCTAAATGGCATCAACCTCTTAACTGTGCTTCTCTTCAATTTGTTTCGGCTGTTCTACCGGCTTTTGGCTCTTGCCCCTCGGGATGAGGATTCTACGTTTCATAACTCAAGAGGTTTTATTTTTTTCTAGCTTCCCCGAAGTTCCCGTAGAATATAGCCTAGTCATGCAAGGAATTTTCTCCACAAGTTTCTAAGGAAGCCAGTCTAGGAGATCGATCTGGGCTTGTCTCCTGGGAACTCCAGATTACCCTCCTCCAGGGTCACCACTGCCCAGGGCCTTATCACTCTTTTGTGCCCAGAAGTGAGTCTTTGATATTGGACACCTGTGCTCCAGGCTATGCTCAGAGTGAACCCAAGCGCCCTGGATGAGAAGACACGGGAGCAGGCTCACAGGGAAGACTGGCCCCCGCCCCCGCCACACTCATCAGTCCCAGTGCCCCACCTCTCACGACTGCCCCTTTCTTCACTGCTGCACACTTCCTGGCTCTCTACTCTTCAGATCCACGTAGCGATTTCCTCGAGCAGTGACACGTAAGTGCTGGATCTGAACAGGGGGAGTCAGAGTTGGGGTTGGTGTCGAGGAGGCTTGAGAGGAAAGGGCCGGGGACACTGGACGGGGCCTCACTGAACCTGCAGGCGGTAGAGTTCAGATTGGAAAGTGACCCAATTTCTAAGAAGCAAAGACCTGAAGTCAACTCAGGATTAATCCCACCGGTGGGATCTGTCCCCTCACCCCCTTCGCCCCTACGCCCGCTGCCTCCCCAGTCTTCCCAAGGATGATACATTGAGGCAGCTTGAATCCTGGTCTTCTATCCTGCTGAGGTCCTGTAGACAAGGTGGAGCGAGCCACCCATGTGAATGTTCCGACTTGACGTCTATGCCTCATATAGCCCTTGATACACTGGAGGAGGACAAAAATTTCCTTCTCTCTTTCAAGGTTCTTCCAGCCAGTTTCAGAATTGCGTTGACAGGGACGTCTGGATGGCTCAGGTGGCTCAGCACCTGCTTTAAGCTCAGGTCGTGATCCAGGGTCCTGGTTGGAAGCATGCATGGGGCTCTTTCCTCAGTGAGGACTCTGCTTCTCCCTCGCCCTCTGCCCCTCCCCCGACACACGGTCTCTCTCTCTCTCTCTCTCTCTCTCTCTCTCTCTCAAATAAAGAAATGAAATATTTTTAAAAAATTAAATTAAACAAAGATTAAGTTGACGTAAGACAGATTTAACGGGAGAAAAAAACCCCGAATTTTTATTATATGGACATAAAGCCCCAATAGTGGCAGTGTGATCCCAAAGAGATGACAGAGGCAGACAGTTTTTAGACATTTTCAACAATGAGAAGTTACATTTGTTAGGAATTGACAGGACAGTGAAAACAAATGTCTGAGAGTTTTAATCAGTAAGGAATCCAAAGCAGAATCTGACCTGACCTAGTAGGTTAGTAAAAAGGAAGAAAGTTTGTTTACAGAGCCTTCCTGGCTTTAGAATCCCTGTGGCTGGTGGGTGCCTGGCTGGCTCAGTTAGTGCAGCATGCCCCTCTTGATCTCAGGGTTGTGAGTTCAAGCCCCACTTTGGGCAAAAAGCTTACTTAAAAATTAATGTAAGAAAATTAGTAGTATTCCTCTCTCTGGTGATAAGAACGTCTTTTTATTTCTTAGGACGGGAAGGGTCCCTTTCATATGAGAGGTCATTTTCTACTTTTACGGGGACAGAAGAGGGTCTGAGGGTCCTTGCACTGGCTGTTTTCCAAGTAGCTTCAGGTCCAATAATCAAATGCACTGTGACACCTTGTGGGGGAGCCGGCCCTGGGTCCCTGCAGCAGTCTCAGAAGTGCTCTCACGTACTCGTCTCGTTAGACTCTCACAGGTCTGCGAGGCAGCTATTACGAGGCCCATCGGAGGACCCGGCGCTCAGAGAGCTGAGATCCCGATTAGAGATGCCCTAGGACCCGCTGTACTCCTCATGGTCAATGAGGACAGAGAGCAGGCTCATAGGGGAGACCTTCCCACACAAGCCTATGCCCTGATTGTGACCAGGGGAGTTCCTGTGAGGGCAATTTCAGGCTTGGCATTTAATTGATTAGAACAAGATTTCAAATTTCCTATACGATCCCATTCTTAACGACCAATCCAGATGATTTACAATCATGACCCTGAGGGAAATGGCCTCTGAGAAGGATGTGCACAGTCAGAAGTGACAGCGGGCTTCACACAAGCTTTGGGGAAGTTGATAAGGAGTCAGAATTCGATAAGCACCGTCTTGCAAAGTCAGTGTAACTGTAGCCTGGGATTTCAGTGACCCGAAGCCTTCTTGCTCGGGAAATATCACCCAAGTGTTCACCCGTCTTCCGCATTCCCTTAAGCGGTGACAACGCTTTCCCCTTCACAGCTCTGAAGCTTGAAAATACCAATTTCCCTTAGAGCCATGCTCCTAGAAGGTTGATCTGGACTATGGAGCAGAGTTCACGAGAGGGTGACTGGCTCCTCGGTTTGGGGGGAAGAGCAGGCCGACGGGAGACGTGTGAACTTCTCGCGATAACCTCCACCAAGTGTTGACCGTCTTGTGTTTGTCTCACTCAGGCTCTAGCGTATTTTCAGCTTTTGTACAGTTTCTCACGCAATGAGATTTATGGTCTCAAGCCTGGGAAGAAAACGGTGACACTGGGCCCCACGTTGGCAGGCAAAGCGATTCTCAGGTGCAAGCCAGCTCTCAGGGCAGGGTGGAGATCATGCTCTCTTGTCTCCTCCCCGTGAGCGTGCAGGTGGCTCTGGCGGTGGAGATGGCATCCTGTCTACCGATGCTCGGCCCTCTCTTGGCCCTGCTGTTTGTGCTCTGCGGGCTGCTGGTCCACGGCCAGAACCTGTCCTGGAGGGCGTTCATGGAGCAGCACTACCTGAGCACAAGCTGGAAGTTCAGCGACTACAGATGCAACGATCTCATGAGGGAAAGAGAAGCTCCAGAGGACAGGAACGGTCACATCTTCATCTATACCTTGTGGCACAAAATCGAGCATATTTGCCTCAGGAAGTGGAGAGATCCTTACAGAAACGTATATATATGGGCCCAGCATCCCTTCCTAATACTCCGGTGCTACCGGGAGAAGAACAGAAAGGGCTACAGAGAGCACAGCAGCTACAGCTACCTGGAATTCCACTGTGGCGGGAACGGGTATGTTGATGGCATAGAGGACATCCGGGTGGTACACATCAAAAAATAGGAAAAGAGCGAGTCCTCCCACACCCCCAGGGTGGAGGAGCATGACCAGTGCTTCCCAAGTGGTGGCCCCTGCCTGCCTATGTCAACAGCCCTCGCGCCCCGTTCCCTTACGTTGATGTGCCAATGTCTTCCAACTACTGAGTTGCACACCACGTGGCGTCTTCCGGTCGGAACTGCCTGCATGGTTTCTCTGCCTCCAATACCCTCTGCCCTCCTTTACCTGGTCTGCTCTTAACTTTTGTTAAGATTAAGCTCACCTGGCTTCTCTCTTTACTGAACCGAGGAGTTTCCTGAGAGTGACTCTCCTCACTCCACCCAAACGGAAAGGTCTTCCCTTCCCTCCATGAATTCGATCATCCCAAGGTGTAGGACATTTATCTACGTTAGGTGTGTGTGATTAGTGTCGGTGTTACAGGCTGCGTGATATCGATTATACTTGCATATGATTTGTGCAGAATGTAGGCTTAAGGTCCGTGTTATGGACACATTTGTGAAATGTGTTTCTAAGAAAATGCAGGGATTTTAGGCAGGTTAAGGCGTTATGTTTCCTGGGAATAATAAATTACGTGGGTGATCATAGCAGGAATGAGCTTATCTGATAATAATCATTTTCACTAGGCAGAGACGTAGACTGGGATAAAGGACTTTAGAACGTAACCTTCCTGTGGGTCGCCGGCAGGCAGGTGCAGGGCAGGATGGGGTAACTGGGTGATGGACATTAAGGAGGCCCCACGATGCAATGAGCACAGGCTCTTATGGGAGACTGATGATTCACCGACCTCTACATCTGAAACTAGTAACACTTTATACATTGTTTAATTGCATTTAAATTAAGAAAATAAAAACTGTAAGCTTCTTCAAGAACGGATCTTATAATTTACATTTTGTGGGTAAAAAACAGGAAGTAAATCGCAGAAGGAAATGTTGAGGACACAAGTAAGTAACTGCTGAGAATTCTGTTTGCTAAATGGGCAAGAGAGATGCAGAGAAAGATAAATCTTCACTTCAGATAATTAGGCCTCAAGCAGGTACGGGGAGGAGAAATACTGAACATTAGAGTCCCTTGTATCTTCAGCCTCCTGCATGATTGAATGACTCCCGTGTTGAAACAGGTAGAGAAAAGACCCAGGTAACAGCATTTCCAGCGAGGTGGCCGTGTTCCTCGTCCTGAATGTCTGGCCTCAATGAGTAGCCAAGGAATCCAGGTTGGCCATCACGTTCCAAGAGCAGCTCTTCAGCTTTGCGATTTTGAATTGCACCTGGGCTTGAGCAGAGACCGGGAGGTGACAACTTATACTAGCCAGACTCACAAGAGATCAGTGTCAATCCAGTTGTTCCCTATCGATGCTCAGTTTATGGATGAGGAATACTGACTGTTTATCTCAGCTGAGAAAAGCTGCTTCCAAATGCAGTGGCATGGGGCACTTGGGTGGCTCAGTCGGTGACGTGCCTGACTCTAAATTTCAGCTCACGTCATAATGTCACGGTCATGAGATCCAGCCCCACAGCCAACTCTGTGCCGAGCCTGGAACCTGTTTGGGATTCTTTCTTTCCCTCTCCCTCTTCCCACTACCCCTCCCCTTGCTCACACAGGCCCTTGCTCTCTCTCTCTCTCTCTCTCTCTCTCTCTCTCCCAACATGAAAAGAAAAACAGACAAACCAGGTGAAAACCAAATATAATGGCCTATTTTGTGGTAGCATATTCTGGTTTCCTGGAGTTATATTTCACAGTGGTCTATTCCGGCCTCTCACAAGTTTTCACAAATATCTCATTTAAAAACTCTAAAAATTCCTTTTAAATAAAATAAAATAAATAAAAAGTAAAATAACCAGCATGCTAGACTACAACAATGAAGGGAGAAAAACTCCACAGTCCCTACTAACCTTGTGGTCTACCTGGGGGGTCTATTAATCCAGAAATCATATAAAGAAATGCATAGTTATAAAGTAACTTTTGAAAATTCAAATTAATATTTTAAAAAGGTACACATAAAAAAAGAAATAGGTACACGTTTGTACAAAAGCATTTAATTACTGGGGCAGAGAAAGGGGCGCCAGCCTCACTGGGGCGAATGGAGGTAAGATAGGTGACACTGTACCTGACAGCTGCAGAGTAAAGAGGAGGTAAATTTTATGGCTCTTCCCATCAAACTACTTAAATCAAAAGGGACAAGGGAAGAAGGGGGATAATGAGAGGAAGAGGAAAGGGGACATCACCCAAGGATGCCTGAAATAAGTCAGCATTTCTACTCCTATGAAACAAGATGCCTTAACAACAAATATATAGGTGATGACAACAATGAATAGCAGTCATGGGAAAGTAACACCAGGATATTCTAAAAGTATTAAATACTAACAATTTAACTTACAAACCACAAAATTTACATGAGATCTCTGTATATTCTCTCCAAACAATGTGTTCTGGCAGCCTGGGTGGCTCAGCTGTTTCGCATCTGCCTTCAGCCCAGGGCATGATCCTGGGGACCCGGGGTCGAGTCCCGCATTGGGCTCCGTGCATGGAGACTGCTTCTCCCTCTGCCTGTGTCTCTCTACCTGTCTCTGTGTGTCTCTCATGAAAAAATAAACAAAACCTTTAAAATAATAAAAGAGAAGTCATTTTGGCAATTCTGGGGGCCCTTGGTTGCCTCAGGGGGTGGAGCATGTGACTCCTAACCCTGGGGTTGTGATTTCGAGCCCTGCCTTGGATATAGAGACTACATGAAAATAAAATCTTAAAAAAATAGTTCTTTTGGCATTCCGTATGAATTTTAGAATCAGCTCAACCCCCAGGGGTTTTGATTAGGATTGAGGTGACTGTATAGATCAATTTGGGGAGCATTGATAGCTCAATAATCCTGAGTCTTCAGACCCATGGACATAGGATGGCTCTGTTCCTTACATCCTCTTGGCCAAGCTTTTGGTTTTTAGTATTGAGGGGGTGAGGATGTCCCAAACTCTGAAACCTTGGCATAAGAAAAGAGTCTCATCCACCTGTTCCCATTCCTGGGATGAGCAAGGAGAGCGTGGAGCCTTCCCCTGTACCCTCGCTAACAGCGAGCTCCACCGCTCCAGTCCCGACCTGTGATGGGAGGAGTCGTGTTGGGGGTGGGGGGTGGGGGCAGAAAAAGGTGGCCCACCGAGCACTGATTCAAGAAATAAAAGACTTAATTCAAGAGGACTGGAAGAACTGGGGACAGGGTCCATCCGTTGGCTAAGATTGCGACAACAAGATACCACAGACTGAGTGGCTCACACCACAGAAGTTTATTTTCTCACCGTTCTGGAGGCCACAAGTGCAACATCAAAGCTCTGGAGGTTCGGGTTCTGCTGTGGCCTCCTTCCACAGTTGAAGAAGGCTGCCCTGCTGCTGTGCCCCTGCGGGTCTTCTCTGCCCCTGTGCACCCCAATACTTCTCTGTGGTTCACCTTTCCTCCTCTTACACGCTCAGCAGTCACCTGGCATTGGGGTCCATACTGAGGGCCTCATTTCAACTCAGTCACTCCTTCAGAAGTCCTAACTCAAGTACAGTCACATTTGAGATCTGATCACACTTCTGAGAACGTGGGGTCTATGCCTGAGCTGTGGGGGCAGACAATTCAGCACGTACCGGAGGACATGAAGCCGTGGTTTCCCTGAGCCACAGGAGGGCTGCTCGGGTGGCTCCATGGCTTAAGCATCTGCCTTCAGCACGAGTCCTGATCTCAGGGTCTTGGGGTGAAGCCCCGAGTAGGGCTCCCTGCTCAGCAAGGAGTCTGCTTCTCCCTCTCCCTCTGCCCCCCACACCCCCCCCCGCCCCCGCCACCACCTGGCCCTGGCTCTGTCTTTCTCTCAAAAAATGTGCCCGCTTTCCTCTCCTTGGTCTGGGCTTTGCTTCTCTATGGAGGCACAGGGATGGCCCAGAGGGAGGAGGCAGAGGTCTTCCCTCCCCTGCACTTGTGAGACCTGAGATCATGGAAGAGACCTGGAAGGGAGGGGGCCGCTCCCTTGGGGTCTTGCGCTCTCTGTCCCACGCTGTCCTGGGGCAGCCAGACAGGAATTCACCACCTGAAGGAGTACAAAGTGCCAAGTGGCTAAACCCCAGTCCTGAGGATGTGGGCGCTGGGGGGAACCCGGGGTGGGGACGCGGGCTCTTCACTGGGAATGGGGATCAGCCCCCCACGGAGCTGAGCACACCCGGGCAGGCCCCAGCCCGCTCCCCACAGACTCTGTTTCCTGGCATCCTTGACAGATTCCCAGGCAATTCTGATGGGAGGCCCGGGCTGGGGGTCCCGCCGGGCCCGGAGGGGTCTGATGGGGTGCTCCTCTGCAGGGGGCTTGGGGTCCTGGCGACTGTGGACGTGCGGAGAGGTGCACCTGCCCTAACACATGTGGCTGTAGAGGAGGAGACGTGAGAGCTGGGTGAGCACACACTCAGTTTTTGTCCTCTGTCCCTGTGCCCAGCGCTCTTCTCTGCGGCCCAGCTCAGCCCTGACCCTGCGATGTGCCTGTTTGTGTGACGGTCCCTGGCGCTTAGTCATGAGCTCCTGAGGCTGGGCAGCCGGGGCCGGGGCCCAGGATCCCTAGAAGGGGGGTAACCCGTTCCGGGGGCCCCCACTGCACCCCAGAACCAAGGCCGTGGCCACCGTGGCATCAAGGTCCCGCGGCGAGTCTGGTGCTGGAACCTGAGGTCAAGGCCGCGGCCCTGCAGCTGCAGAAGGGGAAGGAAGGCCCGGCCCGCCCAGGAAGTGCACGGGTCCCCAGGGTACTTAGGCCACCCGGGAGTGGGGAGCAGCCTCAACCTCGGAGTCTGGGGCTGCGCGCACGGCCTGGGTGACAGCCAGAGCCTTGCAGGACACCTGGTAGGAGGGCGGCCGCGGCCCGGGCGGGAGGGGTCCTGGGGTCCAGGGCGGCCGCCGGAAGGCCGGGCCCAGGGTCAGTCCCTCGGGGGGACAGGACGGGGAGGGGACCGGGGTCTGCGGGGGGGGGTGCAGTACTCCTACCTCCTGTTTCTCCTCGCGCGGGGCTCAGGCGCTCCGGGACCCGGACACTCAAGGCAGTGGTCAGGTGAGGTGACTACTGCCAGCCGGTGACCCCTGGGGAGCCGCGGGAGAGCGCCTGTCTCTGCGGGGGGCCTGAGCCCAAGCCCATCAGAGCTCCACGGTGGGGTCCCACTCGGAGGCAAGTGTGGCTCTCAGCCCCCCTCGGTCCCCACCCCCTCGGGTGCTCTCTGACCTGCTCTCTCGCTCGCTCTGAAACCAAGAATAAAAGCATAAAAAAGAATGAAATAAAATAAAGATCAAGAAAGGAGCAAGGAAACCTTAAGGGCACAATAAGCACCTAATGGCTGGGAAGGATCATTTTGTTCCTATCGCTCTGACCACTGTGATTCCCTCATTTTCCTCCCTCCTCCTGCCCAGAGGGATGATGCTGCATCTCCCGGGGCCGTGGCCGCTGCTCCTGCTTCTGCTGCTGGGATCATGGGGGCCGGTGCCTCCTGCTGCTGCTCAGCCTCCAGGCTTCACCGCCGTTCAGTGGTTTAACACCCAGCACCTAAGAGCGAATCAGGTGCAATGCAGAACTGAAATGCCTCAGATCAATAATCTGCTTCCCAGATGTAAGGGGCAAAACACCTTTCTGGTTGAGTCCTTCCAAAACGTGGTTGCTACCTGTCAACAGCCCAACAGGACCTGTAAGAATGGCCTGGGAAACTGCCACCAGAGCGCAGGGCGGGTGAACATGACCTACTGCCTTCTCATTGGGCGCCGGCCCCAGTGCACCTACAGTACTACGTACCAGAACCGGTTCTACATTGTTGCCTGTAACGACTCGCAGCCAGGCTACCCTCCCAATCTTCTGCTTCCCGTCCACTTAGACGACACCGTCCCGCTGGGTCCTACACACTTCGGTTAAGACCAAGGTGGCCATCGCGGTCGCTCCCCCTGGGCCAGGCTCTCTCATGATGTCTCTGCTTTCTCTTTCCTTTGTTGATTCCCATGGTTCCCATAGAAGAAATAAGTAAAGGGCCAAGATGTGAGACGAGAGTAAGGGACAGCAGACATTGGAAGCTTTTCAGATTGGGAGCTCTGTGTGATTGAAAGGAAGGCAATAGGGCAGAGGGCCAAGAACGGCCCAGGCCCCATGGTTTTCCTCTTGCACCTTCGGCCAAGCTTCCTTGCACCTGTTCTCAGCAATAAAATCACTTTCTCCTGCATTCTAAGGACTGTGAGTATGTGTGTTCGGGGTCCCTTTCCCGTGATTGCCAGCTTGGAGCCACCTAGGTTGCCTTTGCCAACATCCTCAGGAGAACTATTTGGGCCTCAGTTCACCTTCGTTACTCAGGGTCCTAGGGCCTCTGTCACTTGTCTCAGCCTGTGTCCCTGGGACTTTGGAGAAGACAGTTCTCCATCCCTCCCACTCTGCCCAGGGCTTTGACATATCTCCCTTGAACCCATGGCCTATGTTTACGGGAAGGTACCACAGGCACCTCTGTGGTACTTTCACACACAGGCTCTAACGCTGACAATGACACATCTTACATCCTTAGTATTGGCTTCCATATGTGATCAACTAATGTTTTAAATATAAATAAATAGGGGATCCCTGGGCAGACGGCGGGGGTGGGGGGGGGGAGCTTAGCAGTTTAGCACCTGTCTTTGGCCCAGGGCGTGATCCTGGAGTCCCGGGATGGAGTCCCACGTCGGGCTCCCGGCATGGAGCCGGCTCCTCCCTCTGCCTCTCTCTCTCTCTTTGTGTCTCTCATGAATAAATAAATAAAACCTTTTTAAATAAATAAATAATGTCTTCAATAAATGTAATGTTCTCATGAAAGTTCTAAGAAAAAAAAGAAAGTTCTAATAAAAAGATACATAATATAAGAACTACCTTACAGAAAGGAAAATAACTCTTCTCTATTATGATAAATCCCACTTCTTTGTAAATGGGAATTTATACTCTCCTTCAGAGTTTCTCTTTTGTCTTCAGTTTCTCAAAATAATCTTTGTGTCAGAGAGCCATCTTTTAGGGTGCTCCCTTCTGGTCTCCTACAGGAAAGAGGCTGGTTAGCCTGAATCTCATGAGCATCACTTGGCCCGGGGAAGAGGATTCGAAACTTGGATGGATAACCCAACGGATATTGCACACAGGAAAGAGAAAGACAGTTCCTGAAAGGAAATGAATGTGCAACTATCCACATGGGGGAAAGTAGATGTGGGAAAACCCAAGCAGCAACACCAAGCTATTATACTGATTGTGCTTAAATCCATTTTCCTCCTAAATGGTTTTAAACACCATCTTTTAACATTTTACTAAAAGGAATTTTTATATATTGTTATATGTTCTATAATGGGGAGCGGGTTATTTTTATTTGAGATAGAGAGAGAGAGAGAGAAGGAGCAGGAGGGCAGAGGGAGAGGGAGAGGGAAGCCCAAGCTGACTCCCCACTGAGTGCAGAGCCCCACTTCAGGACTGGATCTTACAACCTGAGTCGGGGCCTGAGCCCACAGAAAGAATTGCTTGGTTGCTTAACTGACTGAATCCCTGGAGGCTGCCAATCTGAGGTTGTCTAACTGGATTCACCCTTCAAGTACACTTCAGTACACGGTAATATAATTTCATGATTATAGTGGAATGCAGGAGGTGCTGGTGGGAGCTGGACAATCCAAGCTGACACGGTACAGCTGTGCCTGCAGAGGGACAAGCTCAGAGGAGAGGAGAGCTGAGCGTAGCTGAGCAGGTCAGTCAGGAACCAGGAGACAAGGTGGGAAGAGCATCCAGGGAGAGGAAACAACACCAGTAAAGTGTGAAGGGTTAAAATATAATTTTATCTAAAAGGAAAACAGGTGGCTGACTGGCTACAGGAAGGCAATAGGGCAGAGGGCCAAGAATGGCCCAGGCCCCATGGTTTTCCTCTTGCACCTTCGGCCAAGCTTCCTTGCACCTGTTCTCAGCAATAAAATCACTTTCTCCTGCATTCTAAGGACTGTGAGTATGTGTGTTCGGGGTCCCTTTCCCGTGATTGCCAGCTTGGAGCCACCTAGGTTGCCTTTGCCAACATCCTCAGGAGAACCATTTGGGCCTCAGTTCACCTTTGTTACTCAGGGACCCAGGGCCTCTGCCACTTGTCTCAGCCTGTGTCCCTGGGACTTTGGAGAAGACAGTTCTCCATCCCTCCCACTCTGCCCAGGGCTTTGACATATTTCCCTTGAACCCATGGCCTATGTTTACGGGAAGGTACCACAGGCACCTCTGTGGTACTTTCACACACAGGCTCTAACGCTGACAATGACACATCTTACATCCTTAGTATTGGCTTCCATATGTGATCAACTAATGTTTTAAATATAAATAAATAGGGGATCCCTGGGGGGTCAGCGGTGTAGCGCCTGCCTTTGGCCCAGGGCGCGATCCTGGAGTCCTGGGATAGAGTGCCGCGTCAGGCTCCCGGCATGGAGCCTCGTTCTCCCTTTGCCTTTATCTCTGCTTCTCTCTGTCTCTATGTCTATCAAGAACAAATAAGTAAAATTTTAAAAATATATAAATATAAATAAATAGGAATAGGGTTAACAATGCACTGTAGCCCTAGATCATTTCTCCCATGATCTATTGGATTGCATGTAGAGAAAGCATAGATTAAAGACAAGAGAAAACATTGGGGTCTAAGAACATTCTGGCCTCCCCCAAATACTGAAATATTACAGAGGTTACGGTGTTTTGGGACCAGGGAGTGAGTTTAGATATTGAAGGACTGGGGTGGAAAATTAGGCTGGGGGCACCTGGGTGGCTCCGTCAGTGAAGCATCTGCCTTAAGCTCAGGTCATAATCTCATGGTCCTGGGATCAAACCCCTCCTGGCTCCCTGATCGTGGGGCATCTGCTCCTCCTTCTGCTCCTGTCTCCTGCTCTTTGTCTCTCAAATAAATAAATATTAAAAAAAAAAAAGAATTTGATTGGGGTTAAGCATTTAGGTCCTAGGCACAGGAGAGGAAAAGTAATTTTACGTGTACCATTCTAGGTTCTTTTTTTTTTTTTAAGATTGTATTTATTAATTCATGAGAGAGAGAGAGAGAGGCAGAGACACAGGCAGAGGGAGAAGCAGGCTCCATGCTGGAGCTGATGTGGGACTCAATCCGGGACTCCAGGATCATGCCCTGGGCGGAAGGTAGACACTAAACTGCTGAGCCACCCAGGGATCCCCACCTTTCTAGGTTCTTGGCTAAGAGTCAGTCCCCGCATCAAAAAAGGCAGTTAATAGAACAAAAACTCTTTTAACATGCCATAAATACAGGAGCCCTACAAAAATATGAGACTAAGTAACAGCTAGCCAACTGAGGCTTATGGACCATCCTAAGCTAAGGAAAGGCTAGGGGTCTAGGGCTTTAAAAGGGGAAGACAATTCAGAAGAAAGTGAGAAGAGAAAAGGATTGGTAAACAAACTTTGCTTTGCCAGGCACATGAGTCTCTCAGATGAAACAGTGATCCATTGGGATACCTGGGTGGCTCAATGGTTGAGCATCTGCCTTTGACTCAGGGTGTGATCCCGAGGTCCTGGGATCGAGTCCTGCATCAAGCTCCCCACAGGGAGCCTGCTTCTCCCTCTGCCTGTGTTTCTGCCTCTATGTATTTTTCATGAAAAAAAAAATAAAAACCTTAAAAAAAAGTGTGTAATTACCATCAGTATTGAACAATTGGATATTTTGATTTCCTATTACTTAATTTTGAATTTTGAACTCAAAATGGATGAAAGACATACATACCAAATTCCTACAGGAGAACACAGGCAGCAACCTCTTTGACCTCCCCCGCAGCAAGGTCTTGCTAGAGCAGTCTTCAAAGGCAAGGGAAACAAAGGCAAAAATGAACTCTGGGACTTCATCAAAATAAAAAAGTTTTGCACAGCAGAGGAAACAGTCGACAAATCTAAGAGACAAAGGACAGAATGCAAAAAGATATTTGCAAATGACATATCAGATAAAGGGCTAGTATCCAAGATCTATAAAGAACTCATCAAATTCAATACCCAAAGAACAAGTTATTTAGTCAAGAAATGGGCAAGAGACATGAACAGACATTTCTCCAAAGAAGACATAGAAATGACCGATAGTTACATGAAAAAAATACTCAACATCACCCCGTATCAGGGAAATACAAATCAAAACCACAACGATATACCACCTCACATGACAGGAAACAACACATTTTGGTGAGGATGGGGAGAAAGGGGAACCCTCTTACACTGCTAGGGGGAAAGCAGGCTGGGGCAGCCACTCTAGAAAACAGTATGGAGATTCCCCAAAAAATTAAAAATAGAGCTACCCTATGACTCAGCAATTGTACTACTAGGCATTTAACCCAAAGATACAAACGTGGTGATCCAAAGGGGGCACTCGCACGCTAATATTTATAGCAACAATGTCCACAAGAGCCATACACACACACACACACACACACACACACAGTGGAAAACTACTCAGCCATTAAAAATGAAATCTTTGCTATTTGCAATGACTTGAATCAAACTAGAGAGTAAGAGGAAGGAAATGATGGTTTTACATCTCCCATTATCTAGGGTGGCTAAAGAAATTTCAGGAGTGCATGGATGCTCTAAAAACTACAAGTTTTGAACATCACACTATTGAACCTAAGCAAAATATCAAGGCTTGCCGTAGAGTGGACATACTATTCCTAAAAGCCCAAGAGAGGAAAGCAGAAGTTTGGAAAAGTGTATATTTCCTGTGAGAAAAAATAAATTTTCCTCCTACTCCTGAGTGATTTAATCAGTGAACTTTCCAGAATAGGAAGTCAACAGAACCAAGGGAACTGGTTCTGTATCCAATTATGTCATCCTTTTTGATCTTATTTTCTCATCACTTTTGACCTCTAAGTCTCTCTAGACCTACTACCTTGACGCCATATCCATAATTCCTTACTACCTTACTTTTTTTTTAAAGATTTATTTATTTATTTGAGATAGAGAAAGAACACCTGCAAGCAGGGGGAGGGACAGAGGAGGAGAGAGATTCCCAAGTATGCTTCACACTGAGCATGGCTCCTGGAGCAGGCCTGGATCCCAGGACCCTGAGATCATGACCTGAGCTGAAATCAAGAGTTGGATGCTTAACAGACTAAGCCACCGAGGCACGCCCCACCCCTACTTTTCTTCTTCTCACTTCCTTTGCTTTCACTGCCTGCCCTGTTCCAACCTCAAAGTTCCCACTTACTCACTCTCTGGTTGAGAGCAAATCCAACTGGTGGGTCCAGTACTAAGAAGCATATCATAGGTATCTCCATTGGTGCAAAGTTGCCTCTGTGGAAAGAACAGTCAGGGGATCAAAAAGAATGAAATCTTGCCATTTGCAACATCGTGAATGGAACTAGAGGGTATTATGCTAAGTGAAATAAGTCAGTCAAAAAAGGCAAATACCATACGACTTCACCCATATTTGGAATTTAAGGAACAAAACAGATGAACATAGGGGAAGGGAAGGAAAAATAAAATAAGAGGAAAACAGGGAGGGAGGCAAACCATTAGAAACTCTTAACATAGGAAACAAACTGAGGGTTGATAGAGGGAGAGGGGTGGGGAGATGGGATAACTGAGTGATGGGTATTAAGGAGGGCGCTTGATTTAATGAGCAGAAGGTGTTATATGCAACTGAAGAATCACTAAATTCTACAAGAAACAATAATATGCTCTATGGTAACTAAATTGAATTTAAATAAAATTTAAAAAGAGTGGGCAAGGGAAGAAAGATTTAGGGTTTAGAAATTTGGGGAAGGGAGTTGCATGGGTCTTTTTGAATGTTCAGTCACCATTTGTTGGAAAAAAATATCTTTTTTTGCCTAGAATCACTTTGCACCATTGTCAAAAAACATTTGATCAGGGACACCTGGGTGGCTCAGTCAGTTAAGTATCTGCCTTATGCTCAGGTCATGATCCCAAGGTCCTGGGATCAAGCCCCACATTGGGCTCATTGCTCAGCAGGGAGTCTGCTTCTCCCTCCCTCTGCCACTCCCCCTGCTTGGGCTCTCTCTCTCTCTCTGACAAATAAATAAATAAATAAAAACTTAAAAAAAAACTATTTGACTATATTTGTCTGGGTCTGTTTCTGGGTTACTGAGGTTGTCCTATTGATCCCTGTGTCTATTCTTCTACCAATTCACACAAAAATATGTACACAGATGTTTCAAGCAGCTGTCTTCATAATCACCCTAAATGGAATCAACTCAAATGTCCTCCAATGGGTGAATGGACAAAAACGCTATGAAACATCCATGCACTTGAACACTACTGAGCAATAAAAAAGAATAATCCACACAACAACTTGGATGAATTTCAAAGGCATTATGTGAGTAAAAGAAGGCAGTCTTGGTGAATGGATAAAGAAGATGCGGTCTCTATATACAATGGAAGATCATTCAGCCATGAGAAAAGACAAACACCCACCATTTGCTTCCACATGGATGCAACTGGAGGGTATTATGCTGAGTGAAGTCAGTCAGTCGGAGAAGGACAAACATTATATGGTCTCACTCATATGGGGAATATAAGAAATAGTGAAAGGGATTAAAGGGGAAAGAAGGGGAACTGAGTGGGAAATATCAGTGAAGGAGACAAAGCATAAGGGACTCCTAACTCTGGGAAACGAACAAGGGGTAGTGGAAGGGGAGGTGGGCGGGGGGTTGGGGTGACTGGGTGACGGGCACTGAGGGGGGCACTGGATGGGATGAGCACTGGGTGTTATATGTTGGCAAATCGAACTCCAATAAAAAATATACCAAAAAAAAGAAGGCAGTCTTGGTAAGTTACATACTGTGTAATTCTATTCGTATAATCTTTTGAAAAGACATAACAATAGTGACAGAGAATAGGCCAGTTGTTCTTAGGTGTGGAGGGAGTGGGAGAAAGTGTATGACTATATAAGATTATTAGCACAAGGGGAAATGGGGATGATAGAACTGTTCTGTGTCTTGGTTGGGATAAAGCTTGTACAGTTCTGCCAGTGAGTCTCTTTCTCAACTATAGAACCCAACGGTTATTTCTTATTGCACTTTCTTGAGGCATTGATAATGATCAGAACATTCCAACCTCCAGACCAGAAAAGCCCTGAAATCAACAGAATGACTAGAAAACCATTCCACACATCCCGTTCCTTCCCGAAGATCATGGGCTGAACACATGCCCATCCCACCCATGATCCTTGCCTGCTCTCTTGCAGGTACCATTCCCAAACCAAGAAGACTTGGTTTTCTTCATTCTGTTCTTGGTTTTGTGCCTCAATTTCTCTACCTTGAAGGTGAAGGGCTTAGAGCCAGATCACAAATGGCCCTCCTTGCCCTGAAGCTCCTTAATTTCACAGGTCTATAAACATGACCACATATGTGACTAGTCATGTCCACCTACAGATTTTGTCTCTATGTTACAACAGCCCAAGCCCCCATTATTGGACAACCCTCCTCCTAAATAATTGTTCAGCAGTGTTTATGGAAAGGAAGGGAGAGCTTGAGGGAGGTAGGGAAGAGAAGCTGCCAAACAGGCTGGCTTAAAGCAGGGCCCAGCTCTCAACCTCTCTTTTTTATAAAGGCTTTATTTTTAAGTAATCTCTACACCCAATATGGGACTTGAACTTAGAATTCCCGAGATCAAGAGTCTCATGCTCTATGAACTGAGCCAGCCAAGCACCCCTCAGGCTCTATTAGGCATGTTTCGAAGATACTCAGAAAATTCCAGGTCCTGCTCTTGTCTCCTGCCCTAATCTTGCCTCTGCATTAGTCTCTCCCCTCTGTGGCACCAGAGCCAGACTGAAATATCCAAGGGTTGTCAAGGCCCAGGACACCTAACAAGCCCTGGCAGAGGCTAGCTGCCAGCGTGGACTCTCGGAGGTTGTCTAAAGCTGCCTGAGAGAGAAATCTGCACTAGGAGGTGCCGAAGTTGGCTAGGCCTCTAAGGTGGCTTCGTGTTGAGAGAAGAGCTGTGAACTAAACCAGATCTCAATGAGGCAACCATTCTGGAGATGCCTACTCACACACACACCAGCTCTGCTAGAAAGAGAATGGATGCTCGTCTAGAAAGTCATCAGCATAAGGGGACTTTGAACAAACCCATCCCTTTGGTTTTATAGATTAGAAAACTGTAGTTCCGAGAGAGCTATAGACCTGCCTCAGGGCACAGGGAGCTGATAGTGGGGCTGGGGCTAAATGAGGTGCCCTGGCCCAATCACCCACCCGGCTGTACTCTCATGGAGGGTGGAAAAGGAAGGAAATTCGTCCTGGGTATAGGCCCTGCCCAGACTTGTAGCAAGAAGAAAGTAGAGAACGACAGCAGTCATGAGCTTTAAAGTATTGTCACCAAACCCATTGGGCGAACACGCCCAGTGGTACCCTGTCCCTTCAGAGGAACAACTCCTTCTTTATTGTTAATTAAGACAGTAAGAGAGTGAGAAGGGAGATGAACTTGGAGGGAAGAGGCCAAGGGGGCATCTTGCCATCCACATATGTATCACAGCCAGGAAGCGGCCCAAAGGACACGCGAATTTGCTGAATGATTTGCAGAGGGATTGTGCACCTTGTCCCCTAGTGACACTCGGCAGAGTTTGGAGATGCTTCCAGACGCGCCACGTCTGGCCTTGGGGAGGAGCGTTGTCACCAGCGCCCTCGGCAGGACCCTCCATCGTGGATCGGGAGCCCTGCAGGTGAAGGGCCACCGTCCCGCGTTTCTGAGCGTGTCCCAACACTGGCCGAGGGGGCAGGCACAGCGCCCAGGGCCCCGCTCCCCGGTGAGGGCTGAGTCAGGCGCTGGGAGCACCCTCTGGTCAGCCAGGAGCTCCAGGTGCACCTGTGGGTGAGCAGCGTTGGAAAGACAGAGCCTGGTGATTCGCAGGTCTGTGCCGTGGGGGGTTCCTCTGGGCCTGGAGGGCTGGTCCAGTTTGACGGGCGCAGCGCGGCCCGGTGTTGGCCGCAGGAATGAAGGGAGGGTTCGGGCCGGGGAGGAAGGAGAGGAGCCTCCGGAGACGCTGTCACTCGAGGGAACGCTTGAAGCTGTGGGAGTGAGGAGAAGCCGGACCCGGAGATGTGCTTGCCTGGGCACGGGAACCCCGAGTTCCTGAAGCTTGTTTGGTCTGAAGAATTTTCTGGAAATGGGCACTATCCTTGAAAGAATCACTGACTACAGCCTTTTGTGCCTGCAAGCAGCTGCTCCCCTCACTGCGTCAGCACCTTAAGTTTGAAATCAGTCGGCCAGGTCGGCCTCCTGGAAGGGGTTAGTACTCCTTGGTTGGTGGGATGGTGAGTCTCCCCACTGAACAGAGCTCCATTGCCTCCCCACGCTATTTGACATGTTTCTCTCCTTGATGGCACCTGAGCCTCTCCAGGCAGGACTCTGGCTTTCCTTGCCCAGGGTCCTCGCAGTCAGAGCACTGCCCCCCTCGCCCGGGCTGCCTGGCTGGGCCAGTGTGGACCAGTCCTCACCTAGCGCTGTGTTCCCAGATGGATGCCCCAGCAGGCCCCGGCCCCAGCCCCGGCGTGGGGGAGGTTGGAAGCCAGAGCTGGCGGATGTGCGGATACAGAAGCAGCGAAACCCCAAATGGGTGTCCTTAAGAACGCCAGGAAAGCACCAGCAAGAGGGGAGTGAGGAGCGCTGGGATGGGGAACAAGGCTGAGATGAACCTAAGACAAATTCTGGCTCAAGGAATCTATCTAGAAACCCCACGTTTCCTTCTCCATCCTCACTGCCAGTAAGAGTGAGATCCCCCCACAGAAATGCAGGGGTGTCTGGTCCCTCTCACCCCCAGCCCTTCTCCTTCCCACAGAAGCAAAAGGGTTGCCTTACTTAGGGGAAACACCGTCCCTTCCAACACTTATAGATGCTGTTCATAAAGACTGGTCAGATGGATGGAAATAGGGCCTCTCTCTGGTTCCATGAGCCACATGCAAGCATGAACAGGGGGTCAAACAAAGTGGTTAAGTGGTGACATAAGCTGAGTCTCTAGCCTTTCCAACGGCTGCACAGAAGCAGGCCCCAAGCCGAGCAAGTGCCCTGGAAGCCTGAGAGGGAGCCTCCCCTAGCTGGGCGGGGGGGATGGGGGGAGCCACAGCTCTCTCCACAGCGCACAGGGCTGTTTTGTTTGTTTTTGAATTTTTATTGCTGTTGTTTGAAGATTCTATTTATTTATTCATGAGAGACGCACAGAGAGGCACAGAGAGGCAGAGACCCCAGGGGAGCCTGATGCAGGACTCAGTCCCGGGCCCCCGGCATCACGGTCTGTGCCGAAGGTGGATGCTCAGCCACGAAGCTACCCAGGTGCCCCCGCTGTCATTTTTAAGTGGGCTCCATGGATCCTAACATAAGGCTTGAACTCATGACCGTGAGATCCTGAGATCGAGACCTGAGCTGAAATCAAGAGGCAGACCTCCAGCACCTCCGCTGTAGCCCCCAGGAGAAGGGAGACTGCAGAATTTTCTTCCTGTCTCCACTCTGGTAGCAGAACAACGGCTGGAAGCCGGGAGCCCCGGGGTCTAGTCCCGGCTGTGCCCCTAAGCAGCAGGGCCCTGAGCAAGTCACTTAGCCTTTCTGAGACTCAGGCTGTTGCTCTATAACAGTGAGCATTACATTAGGCCCATGATGGCAAAGGGCACACGTGTCTGTCCGTCCAAGCTGCCTTCCGGAGATGCACATTGCTTATTAGGGGCACCTGGGGGGGTTCAGGAGTTAAGCGTTCACCCTGGGGTGTGACCCCGAGATTGAGTCCCGCCTCAGGCTCCCTGCAGGGAGCCTGCTTCTCCCTCCGCCTGGGTCTCTGCCTCTCTCTCAGTGTCTCTCAGGAATAAACAAACAAATAAAAATCTTTATTAAAAAAAAAAAGAATTTTTCCTACAGCATTCTAGGTGGACCCTTTCGAATGGAGTTGATACAAAAGCCAAAATCTACTTTTTCTCCTTCAACGGAATTATCTCTACAGTCCCCTCTGGCTCCTAAATTGAAGGTTTTGACTTTCCAGCTAAGACATGGCCATTCTTCTGATTAGTAATAGCTCACCCCAAAAAAGGAAAATGACAATTTAGGATCTTGGTTTCCCACATCCCTCCCCACACCCAGGGGTGGCGCAGGGTCTTCCCGAGGCTACCCGCCTTCCGGGCAGAGGTTCTTGAGTCTGCGTTCGGCCGCCGGTCTGCTCACCCAGCACCCGCTCCCAGGCTGTAGCCCCCTTTTATCCCCAGTAGCCTTCTCTTAGCAGCCTGGCAGTTTACAAGGAATGATCTCGGGTGACCAAAGCCAAGGGTCAGAAGAGAAGGCTTCGGATGAGCTGATGATGCCTCCCAAAGCTACAGCCAGGTTTGTGGCTCCCGCAGGACAGTGATCACACCAGCAGTACCGGGACAGCGACAGCGTGGGAAACCCAAGTGAGCACAGCTCTGCTTTATTGAAAGAAGCGGTGAGGTGGCTAACATGGGGCCCCCGCCCCCCGACCGAGCTGAGCAGCCCTGGGCAGGGCAGCCCGGGTTTGGGAGCAGGCTGGAGGAGCCCCGGCTGCAGGGATTCCCCAGAGCAGGAAGGCAGGGGAGGGGGGGCGCCCACTGCTCTGGCCTCAGGCCGAGAGCTACAGACACGCATCAAAGTGCACCGGCACGTGGGGGTTCCCCTCACAGGCCACGACGATGTACTGCTTCTTCTGCGTGGTCGTGTACACGCACTTGGGGAACTTGGAGCCGTTCTTCAGGCGGCAGTCGGTAATGTTCATCTGGGAGCGGCTCTGGTGACAGTTGGACTGCCCGTTCTTGCAGAGCACATCCTTCTGGGAGCAGACGGCCTGGACGTCTGCCAGAGGCTCGTGCACGAAGGTGTTCACGGGCTTGCACCACCCATCCGTCATGTTGCGGCGCTTCATCATCAGGTTGCAGTAACTGGCGCTGACGGCGGCGGGGTGCGAGTCCATGTGCTGCCGCTGGAACTTCATGGCCTTCGACTCCCGGGCCAGAGAAGGCTGCACGCAGGCCAGCCCCAGCAACGCCAGGACCACTAGTGGCAACAGCACCAAGAACTTCTCCTGAGCCATGGCGGGCTTGCCTTCTGGAAGAGCCTAGCTGGGAAGGGGAGAGGAGGACAAGGGCCACCTCAGGGGGAGAACCCCAGCTCCCGCCTGTGGCCGCCCCACTCTCAGCCTCCCCCTGGGGCAGCTGGAGAGACACCTCCTCCTGTGCAATTCTCCCGGCAAGGACACAGCCACGCGTACCACTCTCCAGGGCGTTGAACTCCCGCTAGCTAAGGAGAGGTGGTCCTCCCCTCTGGGGGTGACCTCCAGAGTGAACTAAAATCCCACAATCCTGTGTCTGAATACTAGAGATTTTTTAATTTAAAATATGTTTGAAAGATAAATACACTTATACCCAGTGCTCAAGCAGCTCATTAGAAAATCCTTTTGAATAAACCATGAGCTACATCGCATCCCTGAAATGCAATCACGTGTCCAGGATCATGACTGACAGAGGCCTGTTGTCCTTCGCCAGAAGGGAAACAGCCCCGTGCCTGACACGGGCATCACAAAGGGATGCCACTGTAGCCCCAAGACAGATGCTTGGCTCCCCCAGTGCCCTTGGTTCCCTGTCGCCTGCGTGCTCAACCCTATATTTGCCTACCCCAGGCTCTCTCAGTCTCTATCCTCCCCCACCCTGGTCCCTCCAATCCAACGCAGAAGCAGAAAGAGCCCCTGAGACCACGTCTTTGGCCACTGACCTGGGTCTCTAGCGTGGTCTCTAGGAGAGAGCAGAAGGCCAGTCTCTGCAATCCCTCGATCCCTGGAGAGGGAATCTTATACAGATTACAAAGGGGCTTGGCTTCCAAGAAAAGATGGGTGGGAGGAGCGTCCTGGTTTCAGTGTAGAGGGAAATAAGGACATTGTGAGGAGGGGACGTTGTAGGGAACCATCCACACCACTCTTTTCAGGACTGCTGGAAGGGTGAGGCTTGGTCACAGGAACTTTATATGAACCTCATCTGTTTGCTGGTTCCAAGGAGCAGCAGAGAAAGCCACTAGGGTACTGATGCCTGAACCCCAGCAAAGCCCTTGTAATCTCAGGGGGCGATTTTCACCAAATAGTGCTTGGTGGTTAGCAAAGGACTCATAAACGTGTGACAACCAGAGCAGCGGGGGAGAAAGGAGGTCCTCTTTCTCCCCAGGAGCACTGGCATGGCTAGAATTCCAACAGCACCTCTTCCAGGGAGAGGGGAGTGAGGTGTCCAGCTACCCCCACCTGGAAGCCTGCGCAGACCTGGGGCTGTGCCCGGGCGGGGAGGAGAAGACCTGTGGCTCACCCGGTGCTGGCCACTTGAGCACTCCTGGGGTGGCAAGTGAACGTGCGGCAGTTCTTGGCCACAGCAATCACTCCTGTAAGGTCAGAGTTGAGGAGAGAGATGAAAGCCAAACCAAACCCCCAACGGATGTCTAGCTGGCTCAGTTGGTAGAGCGTGGGACTCTCAATCTCAGGGTCTCAAGTTTGAGCCCCATGGTGGGTGTGGAAACTACTTAAGAAAAAAAAATCCCTTTTGTTTTTTATTTATTTATGAGAAACACACAGAGAGAGAGAGAGAGAGAGAGAGAGAAAGAGAGAGGCAGAGACACAGGCAGAGGGAGAAGCAGGCTCCATGCAGGGAGCCCGACGTGGGACTCGATCCCAGGACTCCAGTATCACGCTCTGAGCCAAAAGCAGACGCTCAACTGCTGAGCCACCCAGGTGTCCCCCCAAAAAAATCCCTTTTGGAAGAAAAATAGAGAACGCCATATTTCTTAGCAGCAGAATTCCCTCTGTAGACCGAGAAAAGGAGGCAAAATTGAAAAAGAACAAAAGTCCTTATTGGGGGATCTCAGAATTGCATTTTCTGGAGCACAGATTCTAGAGTACTCAGAGAAGCGCCCTGCCTCACAGGAAGAGCAGGGGTCCCAGGAGGAAGAGGGTGAGGGGGGGCCAACACCTGACCTGAAAAAGAGAGGAGAAGGAGAAAACACCATGATTGGCACTAGCAGATTGAGCCGTGCTTATTTACACTGTGATCGACTAACCGGTTGGTGTTATCAAACCTCACTCTTCGTGATATGCATTGATTAATTACTCGGTCACCCGAAAGCCCACGCTGACAGTTTTATGATCCAGATGCCAGGTGTCCCGTTGACTTTATAAGAAACTGCTTGTAAAACAATCACCGGGCCTGGCCCAGTTCAAAAGTTCATTAGAAGGGAAAATGGAGCTTCAAGATGGAGTCGGTCATGGCCAGAAATTTTATGCAATTTCACACCTCCTAGAAAGACTTGTTTTTGCTGGGTGACAATTGCAATTCCTCTGGAGTCAGGATGATCAAAATACCCGCTATGCTCTGGATTTAGATCGTCTCAGTCCAAATTCTGATTTTGCATCTTAAGAGCTGGGCAAGTTACAGAATTGAATTAGTCTCCCTGTTCCTCAGCTACCTCATCCCTGAAATGAGGATGATGATATGCACGTCTTAGATTTATTACGAGGAAGAAATAAGGTAAGATGTGCAGAGGGCTTGGAGGGTCCTTAGCCCGATAAGTGATTGCTCACATCGGGTGGTGTTGAGATCCTCCATGAAGAGTGTCTCATTCACACTGACCCATCTCCGACTCCCTTTTTATTAGAGGTTAAGTAAAGGGCTTTTGTTTTACTAAAACCCTGAACTGAGAAAAGTAGGCAGTTTTGAAGCCCTGAGGAGAGGAAGAAAGGGGAAGAGTAGAGAAGAGAGGGACCTTAGTGGAAAGAAGAGAATTGTTTAAAGGGAAGTGTTTTTGTTATGTTGCCATGTTATATCCAAGAAATCCTGAGAAAAGTCAGCATTATTTGCTAACCTGTATGGTTTTGAAAGTAGAAGAGGGGCTAAGGAAGCTGTGGTATGGTGTGAGCTTCTAGTCCCACGTTCCCGTGGTTTGTCCAACACCCTACGGTCCACCCAGGCTTTGTCTCTCAGTCCTTTCATAGCACTCACATCATCTGGAGTGCGGTTGGGAGGAAAACTTTTCTTGACGACTTAGGTTCACATCAGAGACCCTGCAAATTCACTGACAAAAGACAGGTTAACAGGAAAATAGACCATGTCCGTGCATGTGCCTATGTAGGAGCACAGAAGAAGTGGCTCCTTGAACAGCTACGGATAAAGGTTTATATATTAACTTAATAGGGGAAAGAAGGGAGGGAAAGGACTCTATAGGAAATAAATGGGGTCTTGTTTATGTTTTCTTAGGAGAGATAAATGAGTTTTAGGGGAACAAATGGTGAGTAAGATAGTTTGTGCGAATGTTTGCTTTTGCAGGTGTGAGTGGTGGATCTTCTTCCAGGCTGTAAAACTCCCCAGTGGGGACCCAGGGCAGCTTCACTCTCAGAAGGCTCCGCCTTTATTCAGATAAGAGAAACTCTGAGGGGCCTGGGTGGCTCTTGATATCAGCTCAAGTCATGATCTCGGGTCATGAGATCGAGCCCCGTGTTGGGTTCCGTGCTGAGCGTGGAGCCTGCTTGGAATTCTCTCTCTCCTTCTCCCTCTGTCTTCTATCCACTAACTCTAAATAAATAAATAAATAAATAAATAAATAAATAAATAAATATTTTAAAAACTTTTTAAAAGACAATATAGCACCCCACAGGACAGCTCTTAACCCTTCTGCTGGAAGGGACACATGCCACTTCTATTCCCACTTCATTGACCAGAGAAAGCCTCATGGTCATGCTTAAGTACAAGGGACAGAGAAATAGGATCCTTCTAGTTGCCTGGAACAAGAGAATTATTTGTGAACAGCTTTAATGGCTGTCTTAGAATGACAAACACACAACTAATCTAGAAAGAAGGGAAGAAAGGAAAGGAAATAGAAATGCCAGACAAATGAGACAAATAGAAAAGGCAAAATAAGATAGTAGATATTCACTGAAGAAGATACAAATGAATAATTATACTCTATAAATGGGCTAAATGGGCCAGTTAAAAGACAAGATTGGCAGGGGGGAACATCTAACACTCTTCCTTTCTTTCTCTGTATGTATCTGTATACAGAGAACATACACACACTATGTGTATGTTCTTATATACATAACATATCATATATATATATATATATATATATATATGTACGCCATATACATACCTTACCATCTTTAAAGATGTTTGAGAAGGAAATATTTTATTAGATGATGAGATTTTATCATCGAGAGAGCAATGGAGTGTTTGCTGGAGTAGTTTCAGTAAGTTGAAGAGGAAGAGACAAGGAAATGGAGTTAACAAGGAGGCTGACCATGAAGAGAAGGATCGGGTTTGTGCACTCGTGAGATGGAGGTGGCTGGGGAGAAGATGACGTGAGGGTGACATGACATGACATGAGAGTGTGCACATCTTGAGGAAAGACCCAGTACAGGAGAAGACACTGAAAATACAGCACGGAGATAGAGCGTAGCCCAGGAATGGGGCAGAGGTGGGTAAAGGTACAGGAGACTGTCTTGCCCGCAAGGACGGCGGGAAGGAAGAGGTGGGTACCGGACAGGGAAGAGGATGCTGCTGAGAAGCAGCAAAGTTGACTAAGAATATGAGCAGCAGAAGAACGTCCTTTCCAACAATGGAATTTTCTCCTCTGAGTGGGACTTGTTTGCCTCAAACCTCTGTTTTAAAACAGGGTTCTGGGGGCCCCCGGGTGGCTCAGCGGTTGAGCGTCTGCCTTCGGCTCAGGGCGTGACCCCGGGGTCCCTGGATCGAGTACTGCATTAAACTCCCTGCATGGAGCCTGCCTCTCTCTGTGTGTGTGTGTCTCATGAATAAATAAACAAAATCTTTTTTAAAAAGTCTGCATCATCTCTGTTGTCCTCTAGGTCATGGGGACAGTTATCTAGTATAGAAGGAGTCTGCAACCCATTACTGAGACGCCTCATTTCATATACATAAAATATGATACACATTAAGTCACGGTTGCCATATTTATCTTCATTATACAGATTAAAATATGATATCAATCTCTCAAGAGTTTTCTCAAGTACTTGACATACATCACAACTGTCGCTTCTTTATGCACATACGATATAATATTCATTTCCATAAACTGCTCTTGAGTATTTGAATAGAGCCAGTAGAGTGGAGAGACTGTACGTATGAGTTGCAGCTTCATGACTGGTTGCTATGCTCAGGAGAATCATTTCACCTCTCTGGACCTCGATTTCATCATCTATAAAACACACAGGCTGGACGACTAGCAAAGCAATAATAAAAGAGAATCTCAATGCATATGTATTGGAGTGTATTTGGACAGAGGTGTGGAATCAGTTTACCCTTTAAATCATTCCTGCAACATCGACTGGCATTTTTTCCGGGTGAGTGCAGATTAATACACAAAAGTCCTGCATTACTAATTTAAAAACCAGTAATATGTCAACTTCCGTAATTTGTTTCCTTGTCTGTAAATGAGGAATAATTCAAGTACCTACTCTAAGATGCTATACACTGAATGTTTATTTCCCTACCCCCACCCAATTCATATATTAAAACCTGACTCTCAATGTGATGATATTTGGAGGGGGGACCTTTGGGGAGTGACTGGGTCATGAGGGTGGAGCACACGTGAATGGGACGAGTGCCCTTATAAGAGACACCATAGAGAGCTCCCCTTACCCCTCTGTCATGTGACGTAATAGCAAGAAACTGGTTCATGGCTCCAAAACCATATGCCCCTGGTTACCCAAGACCATCCCTATTCATGCCTGCTTTCTTGGCATAATAAGTAATAATGTCCCTTTTCAATCTCAAAAGTGTCCCAATTCAGAGGGTAAATTATATAGTCGCCCTATTCAAGGCACATAGTAAGCCCTAATAGAATTGTATTATTATTATTATTATTATTATTAATTACCAGTACTGGTATTGTTTCTTCAAGAGACAAAATTAAAAGTTCAGTTTACATTCTGAATTAGTAGAGGTGACAGTGATTGAAATTTTTGATTGGGAGGGAGAGATAGACCGACAAGTCTCTAAATCCTATCTTTATTTTTTTTAAGATTTTATTTATTTATTTGACACGGAGACAAAAGGAGCACAAGCAGGGGGAGCAGCAGGCAGAGGCAGAGGGAGAAGCAGGCTCCCGCTGAGCAGGGAGTGCAACATGGGGCTTGATCCCAGGACCCTGAGGTCTCCTCATGACCTGAGCTGAAGTCAGACACATAACCGACTGAGCCACCCAGGCGCCCTACATTTTATCTTTATAGACTTGGGCAGCAGTGCAAATAGAATGGGTGTGTCAGGAAAATGCAGGCAGATCTGGGCTTGGGCATCACTGTAGACACACTGAGATTTACTTTGGGGTGACCTGCAGCAGGCACGGAGACAGTCAAAGCGGTGCCTCTGCAAGAG